TAAGACTTAGCAAGAAATAACGAAGGGAGCCAGAATTTTATACAAAACTCAATAGTCAGGCAATCCTCTATTATATTACAAAGGGCTAAGCGTGTCTTTTTTGAGATTCTTGAGCATTTTCATAGGAGTTATAGTAAACAGAAATGAAGAGGATTCAGAGTAGTGTAGGGGGTGTAAAGTTATGGCTTCAGCCTCAAGAGACAGTGTCTTTAAATATAGGAGTCAACTTTTGAAAGCATGTCAGGTGCAGCTTCTGAGAAATGATTTGTTCTTATAAATAATATATAATGCAGCATTGGTGTGCCAACAAAAACAGAAGCCATAGAACAAACAATGAGGGTGTTCTGCATTAAAATTCATTCTCAGAACGGGATAATTATGACAATTTCACCTTTTCTCCAATTTCACTTCCAGAACTATTTTCAGATAATTTAATATCCTGCCTCACACAGAAGTTTTGTGAGAATAAATGTGTTAATTTACAAAGCTTTTGTACAAAATATAATTATATTAATTATTAATGGTAATCATCATCATCAGCAACAACTTCTTACCACAGGCCTGTCCTTGGAGAAAGGTGAGTCTTTGGGTCACTTTTTCACTTAGGTGTAATTAACAGTTTTGTAAAGTTGATTCCCTCCTTGGACTATTACTATATCATTGCCTTTCTCTCCTTGCAATTAATCCACAGGAGATGACACTTGCAAGTTTGAACTGTGCCCAGGGAGAAGCAGGGAAAGGAATATGAAACAGGCAGATTTGGGAATGCTTAAATAAATGGACCTCCTAGAATGCCATCTACCTGTTTGAAGGGATAAGTTAATAATAAAAAAAAGCCCATTCACACACAAGTGTCCCCTCCACACACACACACATTGGTGCACAACCAGCTTTTCCATTCTGAAAGCACAAAAGGCTGTCTAAGACTTTTGATATGCAAAAAATATCAAATCTCATTTCAGGAGATTCATTCTTGAACTCTACAATTTAGGAGTAGATTGCCTCAAGTAAGCAGAATATCAAACTTAACTTCTTTGAGCGAAATAGGCCTTTTTGCTCAGTTTTTCAATGCCTGACATGCTTAGGATTCACATCTGCTTACAGATAAGAATATAAAACTACCACCACTTTCATTATCTCAGAACAAGAGGTGACCCAATTAAACACATTTTATTAATTAAAGGAATAGGTTTCAGTATTTTGCCTATATAAGTTTGGATATAGATTAACATGATGCTTTGTTAGAGACCCAGAGATATCCCAGCAACTACAGTAAAAGAAGCATTCATACTGTCAGAGAAAAAGAAAAAAATTCTAAGATATCAAAACAATATATAAGACTTCATTGAAAATTATACTCATCCCACTAAAAGCTGTTTCTGCCTACATTTGGATTGGAATACAGTGTAAAAACACCCTTGAATTTGCTCTACCTGAGATCTAATTTATAGCAACACAAGAAAATAGTCCAATTAAGTTATTAAAATACAATAATGTCAAAGGAAGAAGGGAAGCTCAATCAGTAAGGAGGTTGATCCACTAATTCCCCTACTTTTTTTTGCCTCAGCCTTATATTTTGGGTTTCTCTGTACAGACTAATCTCTCAAACTGTCATCACAGAGGTTGGATCTGATATACCATCCCCAAAAACCTTCCTAGGGCAAGAATTTTAATTGAATCGGATGTTGCCACTTCCATTTTCTTGTGAGATAAAATGAATTCCTTACTTAGGGCGGTGGGGTTGGGGAGAGGAGAGGAGACAGATTTCCGACTAGGCCACCTACAACTCAACTAGTCAAAGTTTCCTTCCTTCCTTCCTTCCTTCCTTCCTTCCTTCCTTCCTTCCTTCCTTCCTTCCTCCCTCCCTCCCTCCCTCCCTCCCCCCCTCCCTCCCCCCCATTTTTCTGCAAGGACTTACAAATTGCTGATGAAAAAACAGTCTTTAAATACAACTGGGAGTCATACCGGTAGATGGCTGTGGGGGAGGTGGGGACTGGGGCAGGAGAAATGGATAGAGAGCAAGAAGGAGTGAGATAATGTCCAAAGCCATAACCCTTCTGGAAACAATTAGTCTCAGATAAGGCTGAGGATCCCTGCTCAATTGCTCCTGTTGCATGTCTAAGGAAGAAGGTCAAATAGCAACAACAGAACAAACAAGCTTAAAAAGGTGGGATGATTTCCACAGCACGAAGGTCCCCCCCAAGATGGAGGGATGGTCAATTTATTTTTAGGAGAAAAATAATCTTACTCTGATTAATAATTTTCTCTACTTATTGATGCCCCTGGAATTTGAATAAACTTTCATCACCACCCTCCTTTCTTTGTATTCCTGGCCTTATGGGCAATTTCTGAAATAGTTTTAAAAAACAATAAAACCTACAATCAAGTTAAAATATATCATAATCATCAAGGTCATCTCCCCTCACCTTGTGATGAGATGGGCAGCAAATAAATTTAATAAATAATCATATAGAATTGCAGGACATACATTGGTGAAGTGAGGCACGGTTATACACTTGAAATAAATAGGACCTGCAGCTACAGATGTATCTAAGACTGGAAAGTGTTCAGTTGTGTTTAATCAACAGGATGTGGAGGGAAAAAATGTTGGGGAAAGACATATTCAGAAAAGGGGGACTCTAAAGCAGAGGGCTGGCCCTGCCCTCAGTTGCACCCCAGCTTCCATCTGTGTGTGTGTGTTGGGGGGGTTCTCTTACAATTCCCTCCTTGTACCACAGTGGTTCTCAACCTTTCTAATGCCGCGACCCCATAATACAGTTCCCCATGTTGTGGTGACCCCCAACCACTTATACATCACTGGGTGCCAGGGGCGTGGCCAAAGAAAAGGGGGAAAAATGGCGGACAGCCTTGTTTGGCGACCCCCATGAAATGGTCGTTTGACCCCCAGGTTGAGAACCACTGTTGTACCACATGCAGTTTCATTAGGCATCAAGCCTGGCCAGCCATTCCTGGGCCCAGAAGTTAAAGAGGGTGGAGCCTAGTTAGTATTTAGCTAGGAGACCACCAGGAAATCCCAGTACTGTAAACTATAATAGGACATGAGGTAGAGGGGGAGTCACAAGGCAGCAATAGCAAGCACCCTCTGTACTGCTGCCAAAAAGACAGCAGGAACATAATCCAGAAAGCACCAGAACTGAAGCTGAAACTGAAAGGAGAATGAACTTTATCTACCATTGCACAATATTTTTTTCCAGGCAACTGAGATGCACCCTTTACACTGTGCTTCATGGAAGTATGAGACATGGAAAACTAGGGCATTTTATAAAACTAGAGGCAGTATTTGGCCAACATATTAAATCTAGTTAGTTTTAATCTAATTTCATCTGTGTTAATTGTTAATTGGTTAATAGTGTCTAAGGGTGTGTGTGTGAGAGAGAGATTCGATTACTTTATAATTCCTTTATCGAAGTAGAAAATGTGTGATTTACTTCGAAATCAAAGTGTAAATATAAGGTTCTAACTCAGTAAACCGAAGGCATTCTCTTCCAGCCAAGGGCATCGGTGGTCCTCCACCTCGTTCAGGGAGATAACCCAGAAATGTGCAAAGAAGCACCGCTCAGTTGGCCGCGGCTGAAGGCTCCAGGGTGACTGCGAAGCCGAGAGATGCCAGGAAGGGCATGAGAGCTGCCTCACCCCGGGTCGCTGCCGCTTTAGCTGTCCCGAAAAGACCAGCTTTCCCCCTCCCCCCCCCTGCGCCTGGGGCCTTAGCACGTGAACCGGCAAGTCCCGGGTCTTCCCTCCCAAAAAAGCAGGCGCCCGGTGGAAAGCGGTTCTAGCGAGCGACAGAGATACTGATCCCTCTGAGGGAGACCCTTGAAAAGAAGGACACCCCTTTCCACCTGGGGAAGAGGCTCTTGAAAGAACCTTGAGTGGAAATCTCCCCCACTCCACCCCACCCGAATGCTGCGCCCGCGCTGACCCTCGACGATCCGGATGGAGTCTGCTCTGGCCCGGAGCAAGCAGCTCTCCTCCACCGCTGGCCGGCCCTGCTCTTCTTATCAGACCTCTCCGAGTTAAAGAGGGAGCGGAAGACCGGCCTTCCCCTGGATGCCCCTCTCCCTCCTCTCAATGGGTCCAGTCCGGACTGCCCTCCTTTAGCCAGAGCTGGACTGAAGCGGGGCAGCGGGGACGGCGGTCCTAGTGGGATCCTTGGCGAGTGTCCAAGCTAGCGGGGCCAATTCTGCCTGTCCTAAGTCAAAACACCAGAGCTGCAGATACGGAAGCTGGTCTCCCCCCGCTACGCGGGTCACAGATTTAGCATTCGTCGCTTTTTGCAAGCGAGAGGGTCTCCTCGAGAACGGGCGTCGGGGAAGACGCCGGGGAACACAGTTCTTTACAACCGGTGGGGCGGCCAGGCCGGATTGCTTCAGCTGCAAGGAGCCCGGCCTAAGGTTTCCAACGCTCAGACTTCCTGAAGGTGATGGGAACCGCAGGCCCCCGCAGCGAAAGAGTTCAGCTGGGCCGCCAAGTTGAAGGCGCCCGTAAAGAAGTAGCGCGCGCCCCGAGTAAGGAGGCGCGGTGAGCCTTGGGAGTGCGAGTGTCTGCGGCTCATGCGCAGAATTCATACCCCGCGCCTTCCCATTGGCGTTCAAGGAGGCTAACCGTAAATATGTTTCTTTCTGAAAAATAAAGGGACCGATTATATTATATTGATGATGAATGTCAATGAAAAGGCAGAGTTTCCAAAGTCTTCCCCCCACACACACACACACACGCCAGTGAAACCCGAGTCGCCTCCCAGAGTGGGACGTCTCGGGACGCCCAGCTTTCTTTCCCCCTCTTCCGCAGAGGAAGAGAAAGCCGGCAAAGCCCGCGGGGCAGTTCAGGCCGCCTCCGGAGGCTGCTTCGGGGGGAAGGTGAGAGTGAGAGAGGCTGATCGTTGAGGCTCCGGCCAGCCCCCACCCCCCACCCCGCCTCCCCTGCCCGCCGGATTCCGCGACCGAGGGCAGGGATAGAGAAGCGGCAGCCTCCGCCCCCGGCTCTCTTGACATTCAGGCTACCGTCCTGGCCTGAGGCTTTGCTCGCGGAATGTTTATCTAGCCTGACGGCGTGATCGATGGCGAAACGCAGAGCTTTTGTACACAAGAGGCCTCTCCGCCGACAGGAGACGCGGCCAAGGCCGGCTCTCCCGCCTTTGCCTTCGGCGGCGCTTCGCGGAGCTCCATGCCTATATTAGGTGGGTCGGGCAGGCTGCCCCTCGCGGGCCGTGGCGCCCGGACGGACCAATGAGAAGGCTCCCCAAGGGCAGGGTCCCTCCTCCTCGGGGTCCCGCCTCTCTACCTGCCTCCAGACGACAAGCCAAGGCTGGCCGCTTGGCCGGCGCGGCGCCCTTCGGAAGCCGGCGCTCGCTGGGGCACCGGCCGCAGCTCAGCTGCAGCGCCCACCATGTTCCCGAGCCCTGTGACCAGCACGCCTTTCTCGGTCAAGGATATCTTGAGTCTGGAGCAGCATCCCAGCGGCCTGGCCTCCCTGGAGCTCTCGGCCTTGGGCTCGCCTTCCTCCTGCATGCTGGCCACCTTCAAGCAAGAGTCCTACCCGGCAGAGGACGCCCCCCTCGCCGAGGCCCCGGCCGGCCTGGCCAAAGGCAGCGGCAGTGGCAGCACTTTTCCCGGGCCCTTCTTCGCCAAGAGCTACGTGGAGATAGAACCGACCAAGGAGCCGAAGGAGAGCAAAAAAGGTAGCCGCGAGGGGAGGGGGAGGGTCAGCCCGCGTCCTCCGCCCGCGTTGCGGGGCCGAAGCATCTTCGGCCACGCCGGATCCCTGGGGGCGAGGGGAGCTTCCGAGGAGGGAATGTCCGGCGAGGTGTTTGTGGATGGGAGCCCTCAGCCCGCCTCTGCCTTGCTGGGCCATTCTGTGTTGCCGCTCCGGGGCGGGGAGAGACTATAGGAAGGTTAGGGAACAGTAACCCAATGTGGATGGCGGTCGACTTCTGGTGGCTGGGAGGGATTGTAAGTGGAGCATCGACAAAGACGCCTTCGACTCTGTTCGGTCCTGTATAGGCTGCTTGGGGGGGGGTGGTGGCATGGCAACGTCTCATCCCTCCCCTAATGAAGATCCCTCGGTGTCAATATCCTTAGACTCCTATGTGGGGGACTTGCTGTTTTTGTGACAAGTAACTGGTGACAATCCAAGTAGACACTGTGTTATAATAATCAAGGTTAATACCGGTGATGCGGAAGAATTATACTTAATTATACTTATACTAACCCTACCATAGCTCTTGAAAATGTCTTTCGCAGCCCTTGTTTGAGAGTGGTTCAATGTTACCATATTTACCTGAAAGGAAGATTATCCGGAATTTGGAATGGCTGCCCAAGAAAAATTTAGACAGAAAAAAAGCACTCTTCTGATACTATCTTAACCTCAGTGGATCTAAGATAAACTCCCTCCCCCATTTTAAAGGTTAATTATCCAAGAATAAATTAGTCTTTCTTTCCCTTGAAGTCCAGAATATTTGGAGTCAAAAATCTCTTCCTTAAAATTACCTTATTGAATCCTTCCTGAGTCCTTGTTCATAAATTCTGATCCTACTACTACAATATTTACTCAGCTGCAGTAGGATTGACATTCAAAGATGTGTAGGCAATGCCCAAGTATTTAGAAACTACAGAGGTATCCCACCACCTCCAAATCCCTTCATCTCATTTTAAGCAAGTCCCCAAAATAATTGAGGGGCTAATAATGAATATTTTAAGAAGCGCTGTGATTTTTTATTCTTCAAAATTCAGTGAAAGCTAGTTTTTGTTTTTATTAAGCATGAATCTATTTAAACAGCTGAATTTAGTGATTATGTTGTTATTGTTACTAAATACTACTGAGCTTTCCTTTCAGAGTAGGATATATACAGTATATTCAGGGTTCACGATAGCTGGATAGCTGCATCAAAACAGTTATAGTACAAAACTGTTTATACTGAGAAGCAAATCTATTGAGTTCTTTGGATTCACTCATGGCTGAAAATGTTTAAGTTTGCATCCTAAGGCTGTTGAGAATATGTTTTATTAACCTGGGAAAGTCCCACTTGATCCCAATGGGATTTGCTTCTGAATACACAGGCACGGGTTTCCAAATTGCACCACTCACTTGCTTTGGTTCCCACTTTGTTCTCTGGCTTCTAAAGACTTCTTGAGACTTTGGGACAGATTTTTCTCTCCCAAATGCTACAATAACAGAAAAACAGAATTCTCATGAACTGGATTTTTCTGGAACAGATTCCTGGGCAAATATGCTAATTATCTCCACCTGAGATGAAGTGAAATGTTGAGGTCATCAAGCCAGGAGAATGACAGTCCATAAAAATGTTAAGTTCTTTGGGAGCAATCTTCTTCTGGCATTAATCTTGCTCCCAAGGTTATTGGAGTCAAGCTGAACTTGGATCCCATTTTTTGATCCCTTAAACTGCTATCTTCTGCACACTCACTTGGGAGAAGACCCCAACTTCTCTCCATGTAAGGTGGGGAGAGACCAGTAGTATTCCAATGGAATGCACGGCAGTGGTGCCAACCTCCCAGAATCTCCAGGGATGTTGATTTAATCTCTATTGGAAAAATGAATCAAGGATTCATTGGGCATTTCATGGTCTTTAACCTTTTGAAAGTGAGAATGTTCAACCACTGGAGCATTACCTTATGCTGTTGCCAGGAGATAATTTGTTCAGGAAGAATTAGAGCTGGTCTGTGTCTTTCAATGCTGGTCCCATATACCTGGCTACAACACCCATTTTCAATGTCCCCTAAGCAAATCAACTGAATTGGCCATGAACTTCTTAATTAGCAATCTCCTCTGCCGTGGAGTACAATAGGAAACAGACTACATGACACTCAGGGTTCTCAGACCCCACTTCTCTAATTTCCCACTTAAGGTAGTTACCAACTTTTTCTTCCTAGCTTTACTTGCAGCCTGTACTGAAATAGCACCCATTGATCTGAAAGGAATATCCCTGTTCAGGTGACCTATCTCTTGGTTGGAAGAAAGGAAATCCTTAATTCCTTCACTCTCACTTCAGTTTCTCAGGAAGGAATCAGAATGCAATTAATGGTGTGGCTTTGCTTCTGGAAAACACCTAGCATCTTGACTTTGTATGTATATTCTGGTATAGGCCCTAAGTTTCAGCAAGAATCAACCTATGTAGGTCCCATTACACATATACTTTAAATCATAGAAATTAATGAACAAAAAAAATGATGGGCCTATATATAATTGGAAATGAGTTTAATATTTAGCAGTCCTTTGCTTGCATTGATTTCAAACCATTTGACTCTCAAGTAAATGTTCACAAGACTGGGGACTGAAAGGTCCTGAGATCTATTTTTTTTTTTTTTGCCCTTATCTGTAATTCCACTTTATTTATATCTGAAGTGGAAAAAAGTTCTGCTAATTTCAGTCTGTTTCTGGGAATATGCAAATTAAAATCCAAGCCTAAGCCCAAATCACATACTGGGCAGAGAGTTGGGTTGTTTAACTTTAGCTAATTGTTTGTTAGCTACAATTGGCTGGATGCACACAGCATGCAGCAAAAATATTTTTCAAGTATAAGTAATAATAGGGAAACAGAATCGTGTTTTTTTTCATTGACTGAATGTATTTAATGGAGCTGCTTGAATTTGCTAAGAATGCTTGTTATAATCACAGTAACAACAAATGGTTGTAGTAACAAATAACCTTAGGCATTTGTGGTCTGGAAGGAATTATGTATATTTCAGTTCTCAGCCTTGCTTGGAAATTAGACTGGAGCAATCTTTTTTCTTCATTATTTTGGCCCAAATCATTTTTATTTGGTTGAATAAATCCTAGGGATTTCCATAGAGATTGTTTCCAGAATTTTTCTAGATTGAAGGGTCATTTTCCTGAGCCACACAGGTCAGTTTCTGTGGGAGCAAGTCAGCCACAGTTAAGCATTTTAAACTCTCAATTTTCTTCAGCTGGGGAAGTTAGAAATCATTTCTCATTTCATTTCCTCTCCCACTTGGTCTGATCTGTGCCTTTCATAATTAAATGAACTTCGTACTATAACTTCAGTAGGATTACACACTGCAATTTCTACTGAGCTTCCAAGGATGTTGGTACTTTCCAGGCATCCGTGCCTCGATGTTTCTGTGTGTAACTAAACTGGCTCCAAAACACACCTAGCAGACTTAAGGGACACCTATATCCAAATGTCTGTGTGGGGTGGGGGAGGGTCTCCTTTCTGTTTTAATGAACACTATCGGCTCAAATCAGGCCAGCTTTACTGACTTATGGTTGTCCTTGGATCTGCAGTCTTAGGGGAGAAATGTATGCCATTTATTTTGGAATAATTTAGACTTACTTTTAAACATCGCTAGTTTGGATAGCTGGGGGGGAGGGGGGAGATAGAACAAAACAAAAGCGATCAAAGCAAACGGAGAAATCGTCAGAGTTCCGTAAGGGGGGGGATAGACTGGGAGTGCTCATGGACGGGGGGGGGGGCACGGCCAGCCTGAGATGTAAGATTAGGGACTCTTCGGTGCCGTTGTCATTCATCCATGGAATTCAGCTCTCTTGGCGCGATCTACCTACAAGGTAGCTGTAGAAATCAGCTGAGAATAGCGAACGTGAAAGAAAGCGAGCGAGCCATCAAACCAAGGCGAAGGAAGGGAAGCCTCACCGGGCCCGGTAGGGCGACGGAGAGGCCGCGGGCGGGCGGGCGGGCGAAGACCGTTTCCTAAAGCTGCCCTCGCCTTCCCCCTTCTGATCGCCGGTTCGGTTTCTCTTGTTTTTGCCTTCCCGCAGAGCTGTGCGTCCTCTCGAAGTCTCTGGAGCAGGAGAAGCGGGAGGCCGAGGAGGCGGAGCGGCCCCGGCAGAGGAAGAGGCGGAAGCCCCGCGTGCTTTTCTCGCAGGCGCAAGTCTACGAGCTGGAGCGCCGCTTCAAGCAGCAGAAATACCTCTCGGCCCCGGAGCGGGACCACTTGGCCAACGTGCTGAAGCTCACCTCCACCCAGGTGAAGATCTGGTTCCAGAACCGCCGCTACAAGTGCAAGAGGCAAAGGCAGGATCAGAGCCTGGAGCTGGTGGGCAGCATCCCGCCGCCACGCCGGATAGCCGTGCCGGTCCTGGTCCGCGACGGGAAGCCCTGCCTGGGCGACTCGTCCCCTTACAGCTCGCCCTACAACGTCAGCCTCAACCCTTACAGCTACAACGCCTACCCGGCCTACGGCAGCTACGGCGGCGGCGGCGGCGGCGGCCCCGGGGCCTGCAACGCCAGCTACAGCTGCAGCTATCCGGCCGTGCAGAGCGTCCAGCCTTCGGCCGCCGCCGGCAACTTCATGAACTTCAGCGTGGGGGACTTGAACCCGGTGCAGACGTCTATCCCGCAAGGGAACGGCGGCCTTCCCGCGTTGCACGGCATCCGAGCCTGGTAGGATCAGAGGGCCGGAGGCTTTCCGGGGAGGGGAAGACTCGGCTGCAGCCCTTCGGAGAAGCGGCCTATACACGATTGTCCCGGGCCTCAGAAGCCGAGAGAGCGCGCCCTTTTCCGCGCTGGGTGGTGCCGGTGGAGTCTTCGGTGGGGAGGGTGTGCGCGGAGGTGGGACCGCCGACTACTGCTCCAGCTTTCGACGGGCCGCTTCGGATTTCCTTAGGACCGAAGTCCGATGGAGGCCTGGCTTCTGGATAGATCGCACCTCGGTCCAAAGGCGAGAGGTGGCCGGACCTGTGTCCCTTCGCTCGCGCTTCGAAGTTACATCTACCGCCACTCCCGAAGTCGCCGAGCGCTTGGCGTTAACTGGGCGAGTTTCGTTTACGGATCCGCGCCACTTTCCCACTTTTTTAAAAAAAAAATACCAGCTAAATCTGCCTATAAACCCCGCCAAGGACCTTTGTCGAGTCGACTTCCTTTTTCCAGACCAGCAGAGGACACGGGCGCCCCCCCCCATTTCTTTTCACCATTTCTTCAAAAGCCCGGGTGGCCAGGAGGCTTTTGTCTTGCGGGGACTATTCCTGGTTGGTTAGTTTTCCTCGAAAGGCCGCCCGCCCGCCCTTGCTTTCCGGTGCGAGGCGGTGGGAGGCAGAGGGTCGGCGTATCACCCGCCCGGCCCACCCCAGGAGGAGAAGGCGCAGGCTGTTGTGATTTCCCGTAGAATTCTGCACTAAATCGGTTTGCTGAGAGTATGAAATGCACTGCCCGGCCGTGGCGTTGACTTCTTTCGGGATGGGGGGGGGAGGGGGGAGGGCGTTGGCTTCTGTACCCCGACAAAAAAAAGAACTGATGTCTTCTCATTAAAAAGAGTGGCTTGAATTGGGGCTGCTTATGTGTTTCCTTGGCGGTCATTTGGAAAACAGTTTGCTTTTAGTTGGAGTGGAAGTGGGAGAAGTGCCCCTCCCCCCCACTAGGAAGATACCGCGATGGAGCCACGATTCTCACGAGTCTAATACCGCGCCGCCCCAGGCCGAAGGATGGCCTCTTGTGACTCGCAAAGCTTGTGAAGTCCCACTGAATTTCTTTAGATGTAAATGGCTCCTTTTGCTTACTGTAGATAGGTAAAAAGCCTCCCGCTGTTGGAATTTCCAAAGAATTTGCAGCGCAACAGAGTCAAAACAACAGTAGCCGCAGACGCTTAACCCGCGCGGGTGGCCGCGTCCTCTATCCGAAATCACAGGCACAAAAGCATTACCGGCATTAATTTAGAAGTAGGCCTTAGATCTCACTGTGCAAAGAGGCCTATTTGCATAGTCGATGGCGCTCTGCTCCAAGGGGCTGTACACAAAAGGCTTTTAGTCCTAGATTTGCCTATAAAAGCAGGAACTTGGAATGGCGATTGTAATCCGATGCACTTTTTCTCGAAAATTATTCGGACATTTATTAACCTACGGCCATTCGATGCAACCAGCACCTAATCACCATTAATACGCGGAGCACGGCCATTAAAAGCGAAACAATTGCACCCAGCTGCCACGTTTTGCGCGAATCCACCCGAAGAGGCTAATAAAGGCCGCCTGAAACATACGAACAGGCAAGAAGCCTTCCCTCCCGGTATAATGGTATCTAAGTGAGTGGTGAAATAACTCGGATAACACTATTCAGACATTCTCTAGTCTCCGGGCTATTAACCCATTTTAATGTGTAAGTAGTTTTAACGTTTGTAGGGTAAGCCACCCAGAGTTGTCTCTGGACAAGATGGGCGGCACCTAAATTGAATTAATAAATAAACCACCCAGAAGATCGGATTCTGCCTGAGGAGCGAGTGAGGGCAACGACGCTGCCTCCGAAGGGGGAGGTGCCACCCAAGCTGTTTCGAGGTGGGTCTTTGCAGATCAGGACCCATCCAAACGAATCGAGCCTTTAGCTCAGCGTTTCTCAACCTTGACAATTTTAAGGCATGTGGACTTCAACTCCCAGAATTCCACAGCCAGCATTGCTGGCTGTGGAATTCTGGGAGTTGAAGTCCACATGCCTTAAAATTGTCAAGGTTGAGAAACACTGCGCGAATCGCGGAATTTCCAGCTAATGCAGTCGTGTTCGCTGAGCATTATGAAAGCTGGAGTCCCCAAGACAACTGAGGGGGAAGCCAGCCACAGGGAGTACCGAGAAGGATGCTGTGTTCTGTAATTTAAGGCAAGTCAGTAAAGATCAGCACCCACAGGTGTCTTTTTTGGGGGGGTCTCTCTTATTATCCGACAGTCGAAAGAAACTGTAAGGCTCCAAATTTGCTTCCTCCCCCCTCCAAAAAAAATTCCTCTTTTTTCAGACCAAGATAATAAAGTCAAACTTCTTGTAATCAAACTCGGCTTCTGGGAGTTATTATCCAGCACTGGGATTTCCTGGTGGCGTTTCATCCAAACTCTAACCCGCTTTGGTTGTCTTTGATTTCTGATTGCAGAAAAGCCTGGCCAGCTGCTGTCTGCCCCCTGTCAAGTTGCCGTCGCCTTTATTGCTTGCCGCGATTCTTAAACAGCTGCCTGCGAGAGGCATTGAACTACGGCAGTGTTTCCCAAACTTGACAATTTTAAGGCATGAGGACTTCAACTCCCAGAATTCCACAGCCAGCAACGCTGGCTGTGGAATTCTGGGAGTTGAAGTCCACATGCCTTAAAATTGTCAAGTTTGGGAAACACTGAACTACGGCTTCCATGCTTCCCAATGGATATGGCCACTGGGGAAGTGGATGGTAGGAAAAGATAAGCCTCGGACTTTAGTGAAATGTGTATAAATATTCTGAGGAAGCGGACTGGGCGACCAATCGGCATCTTTAAGGGCTGGTCTCCTTGTACTGGCTGCCCGAGACTGACGGGGAGGGGGGGTGTAACCCCGTTTCTTAGACTACCGAGCAAGCATTCCAACGTTAACAGCCAAAAAAAAAACGAGGTTGGCAGCTACGACTCCAGAGTCCCCGCGGGGAGACGGTCCCGCCTAGCTTCGAGGACCTTCGGCGCAAAGGTAGGCGAGGGAAAGACGCAGCGGGGCTGCTGTGGAGTTTGCCGGCGCCTTGAGTCTTTCCAACGAGAGAGGACGAGCGCCGCCTTGAGAACAGCCTCCGCTGTCACCGCGCCCGAGCAGGACCGACCTACTAAGTCCTGCCGAGCGCTGCCCCTTAAATTCACCTCCGAAGTTCCGGTGCCCACACGGCCCTCGGAAACCTGCCTCGAACTCGGACTCAACGAGGAGAAAAGGGCACCTCCCCACCGGTGTGCGGGTGGGCCCTCCGACCCTCTCCCCCTCCGTCGCTTGCCTTCAGGAGGCGGTTGCATCAGGCGAGGCGGCGGTGGGAGACGGTGGGTGGCTCGCTTTTCCGAGGAGAGCGTCGGGAACAGCCGAAAGAGGCTCTGGTGGGAGCTGTTTTCCATATCCCTGGAGGGCGCCAAGGGTTTTTTTTTGGGGGGGGGGGGGAAGGAGGAATAGGGAATATTTGGGTGGACCAGTTGTGCAATAGCAAGGACGAAGTTGCTACAGTCCAGTGGAGGATCTCCCTTGGAGGGCTGCCCTCCCTCCCTCCCTCCCGATTCCCACCCAGCTCCTCCTTGGCTGCGCGTCTCCATCCTTGTTTACTGATGGGCCCGATAGCGAGCAGGCTCCCTCGTCCCCCTAATGGCGCTCTGAAGCGCCTCGGAGCCCCCCAGGATGTTTTGACTGCGTCGGATTGTTCTGTTTGTTGTTGGTGCACTCTCTCGTTCCCATCCCTGACATCCGAGAAGGGGGTTTTTATCACCGGCAAACCCAAGCCCAGGACTTCCATCCGGATTTTTCTCTCTCCCACCACTCCGTCCCTCCCCCCCCCCGCCATTCTAGCAAGTTTTATATTGAGGCTGCAAAACAAGGAAGGGGGGGGGGAATCACTCAGGCTGTTTTTCAAATTTTGGGAAGTTTGCCCAAATAACACTTCCCTGTTCTTCCTTATATTAAGGTGATATTAAAAAGAAAAAAAAGGAAGGAAGGAAGGAAGGAAGGAAGGAAGGAAGGAAGGAAGGAAGGAAGGAAGGAAGGAAGGAAGGAAGGAAGGAAGGAAGGAAGGAAGGAAGGAAAAGTAAGATGGTGGAAGAAGTGACTTAAATCAGCCCTGGTATGGAGAAGGTGGGTAGAGTTATCTTCCCTTCTATCTGGTACAATTTTTTGAAGATAATCTTGGAGCAGGCAAAAGATCCTACTTAGTCAGACAGCGTATTTGGAGTGGAATTCAGAACCTCAGAATGAAGTAATAGCCTAGAATCTTGGTCACTGAGAATGGATGGCTACCAAAGGGCATAATTGTTTTTCAGGAGAGTCAAATTCCTATGGGCCAGTTGGAAAAAAAAAACAATGAAAAAAGCTGGTCTAGAACTGATCAAAGGGCTCTCTGCCTAGCTTTGGATTCTTATTTTCATTTGTGATGCCCCAACATCTGCAACTGAAAGGCAGACAGTCACAGGTACAGGGAAACAATATAGATGGAGTAGCCACTCAGATCTTCTCCAGGAATTCATCTATAAAGGTGAGGGTGAAGGAGGAAACCTTGCCATTGAATATAGTTTGTTTGCCTGTTTGTTTCAAGCACAATATGGTAATTTGAGCCTGGTCCTTTCTATTTCAAGTAAGAACTCTGGATTGATTTGTTCTTTGATTTGTTTTCTTGACTGTTCCTGGTATTTTCAAGAGTTTTTTTTCCAATACCTTAGTTCAAAAGCACCAATACTGTTCCTACCTTGCTTCTTGGTAGTCCAGCTTTTACTACTGTTCTGTGTCCCAGGGGAAATAATTCTGATTAGGTATCTAATATTATTAGATACCTAATCTAATATCTAATATCTAATAGTGTTCGGTATCTTTTCCAAGACCCTCATTGCTACTCTACCAAGTGTTAGTCTGTGACGTATTTCATGATTGTAGATGATTGACTCTTGATAGTTGATTTTAAAAAGCCGAAGCTATCCACCACTTCAGTACTGTATCTTCACTGTCAGTTCCAAGATGGATTTCCCCTGTCTGTTATCATTGGATTTGGGTATGTGTTATAATTACACACTCTGATTGTTATATTTAATTTTTAGTCCCTTTACTTTCATTACTAGAGTTTGCAGATCGTTTTTATATATCAGAACAGTGTGATTGAGTGTAATACATATTATTGATGTTTCTTCTTCCAGTTTTAAAATCATGCTTATCTTTCAATTCAGCCACTACAGCCTTTTCTCACTCCTTTGCTGATCTGGGTGGGGGGTCTGTTTTGCCATGGTCTGTCTGGATTGTGGTCTCCTCCTGTGTATAGGTTTTACATGTGAACAGAACTGAGGGTCTTGCTATAGTCAAAGAATCATATAATGACTTCTTTTTGGTGTTCTTTGGCTTTTTCGATTATTTAGAGTGCATC